AGCGGCAGGTGGAGCGCTGCAGTGTTGGAATGGGGTTTCTGACCGCATATCGGTCATTTTCTTTTGCCCTGTGGTTGCGATCTCTCTGGGTTAAAAGGGGCTTGGCTTTGGTTGTTAGTGTCATTAATTTTTGAATATTTTTAATATTTGAAAATGGCTAATGAATGCTCACATTTTGGGAGATAGATGTGTATGTAGCACAAGGAGTGCTGGAGTTGGTGGCATTCCAAGTAAGTGTCACCAGAGACAGGGCATCAGGTTTGCATGTCAGGTGCGAAGTGGGAAGGCTCCCTCAAACCCCAGGTTCATTACTGGGCAGGCTCAGCTCTCCCATCCTCCCGGGCGGAAAATACAGTGTGCATCCCGGAGATGACAGCGTGCAGGGCTCTTGTAGGAGAGCAGAAAGCACATAGGAAGCAGCTCTTCCGCGAGGACTGTCAGGAACCTCGATTCTTCTCACCAGGGATTACTTATCCTACACAATGCATTTAACAGCACATAGTTCATCGCAGATAGCCCCTGAGTATACTGTATTCCATTGATTTATACAGTTACAAATCCTGGTCTCTCAAACACAAATCTCTCTCAGTTGGCCAATCATCTTGGATGCGAAGGTGTTTTCAACCTGAAGTCCTCTTTTTTCCCTGGGGTTGCTGACAGTCATTCCAGCAGAGCCATTGCAAAGGCAAGAATTTACTCCTGTTCTTTGTACCTCAGTTTCACCTCTAGCTTTAAGGCAGTGGTTCTCAACCTTGGCTGCACATTAGACTCACCTGGCAATCTTTTTAAAATCCTGGTTTCTGGGCCTCATCCTCCAGAAATTCTTTTTCTTTGTTACTAATGTTGTGGCCCCACCCCATAACAAAGAAACAGAATTTCCGGAGGATGAGGCCCAGAAATCAGGATTTTAAAAAGATTCCCAGGTGATTCTAATGTGCAGCCAAGGTTGAGAACCACTGCTTTAAGGGATAAACAGTGAAAATTATCAAATTCCCCTAAAATCGTGGAGTTGATGGTGGCAGGGTTGTTTTATTTTGCTTTTAGGAAGAGGGGGGCAGAAGACAAGGTCACAGGAATATGGTGGTAAGAAACTCTGCTGCTGTTTTCTCCCGAGTTCACCATCTTTATTTTTATGAAACCAGCCTCGGGTATCGAGGTGCACTCATTAAGAACTCACGATGGGCGAGGAGGAGAAAGGAAAGCCAGTGCCATGTTTACTGTGGTCTCAAAAGCAAGTGGCTTCCACAGCGGCATCGGGAACTTTGCGCCAGGCTTTCCCCTGGCTTGCTGCTCTCCCACAACATGCAATCAAGTTCCTGTTGCCGTTTTACGTCTTTGACATGGAGGCGGCAGATTTGGCCTGAATTTATGTAATTTAGTTGGGGACAAGTATAACCCATGAATAGTCACATTCATCTCCTAATTAGAAAATCAAGTGATAATACAGGACAGGCTGCAGGCACCCCATCATTTCATCCAACAAAAGCATGTGTGTGTGTGCTGGGTCTCTGCAGGGGAAAGCGTCTGTTGAATTGCTTCATGAAGTTAATGAAAAGTGTCCAACAACAGCGGAATGCAAGATGCAGACCAAGTGCACCGCCAGTGTATTTAGTGTGTTAACACCTCTGCATTGGGGGGAAAGATTTTGGGGAAATCTAGGTAGAAATCGTAGGGCTTATGAAATTCTAGATTGGACAGGCCTTCATTCCCCTGTTGTAGTGCTAGTTCCTATGCGGCGGGAGGAGGAGGGTAGAGAGTAGCCAAAGAAATTAGTGGCAGGAGAGAGGCTTTCCTATGTTCACACTTACATGTAGCTGCTTAGCTGGGTCTCCTCCTTATTCAGCACATTATGTGGAGGCTGTTAGTTTGGATGCTTTATATTTTTGCATCTGGTGTAGTGATATCGATGCTGTTAAATATGTGATTTGCCTGTCGCCTGCATTTTCAGACAAAGATCAAGAGGAGCATAAACAAGCCCCAACTATACTTTATGTAGGTGTTTGGCAGTATTATTTTATATGGCATGAAATTAGTGAATGGAAACTTTAAAAGAAATTGTTCATATTTTTGCAAGTTTGAAGTGTGCCGGGACTTTGTCAAATTCCCGTTAAAATAAATACGTCAATTTCATCTCCCTTCCAAATTCATTTATCTTGCTTTTTTAAAAGGTGTTTTCTACTTTACCTGATGTTTAAATTGGATTCGCTCGTTTATGCTGTTCTTTGCTATATCCCCCACGTTTTTCTTAAATGAATTACTAATGACAGAGCACTCCATCATCCCCTCTCTACAGCCACTTTAAGGAAAGCATGGTGATCTAAACCTTTTAACCTATTAAAGATGATTTTTCCCAATTGAATCAGACCCACCACAGGTGTAATAACTAATCATTTAAACTACACCTGCTATTATGTATTTTTAAGCCATTATGCGTGTTGGATAGATGATAATTCATGTTTATTGCATTGTCCGATGGATCCGTTTTGCCTACACTAGGCTGATTAATGTATTTAAAGAAATAAGAGATGCAATTTTTTAAAAAAAATTGATGGAATGCGCCAAGCACTGCATTGAGTGCACCATTAAACCCATCAGAACTTTGCTCTCTGACCAGAAATGCATATACCAAGGACTATATTAAAAAAGCAAGGTGAAACCTGTGCATTTTAGTGGTGGGATTCTGTTTTCTTTCTCTGTCATGGAAAATTTTGGAAGGATGAGGGGAAGGTGTATGCTTATGGGTAAATGAGCGGAACTGTGCTGTTAGCATCTCCTGCCTAGGACCCCCTCGTCTGGCGCCTGGTACACATGCCCCCCCCCCCCCCGCGAGCGGAGACTGCGCCTGGTGTGAGCGCTCTGACTGTCTCGTGCGTCGAGGTGTACTTTTTTCTCCAGGTGAAGAACATTGATTCCCGAGCCATCTGAGCTGTGCACGTTGGCATTGACCCCGTGGGCCGGCCCGTGCCAGTGTGACTAACTGTCCTCTTGCAGGGCACAGGCCTGTCTTCCTGTAGTTTTCTCCTTCCTCCCCACTTCTCCCCTTTCCTGTTCTTTTGCCTCCCCTTCTACTCGGGCTCCTCTGCTTCCTCTTGTCCGAATGCCCCTGCCTTCTTCTCCCCTCCCTTCCCCTACTCCTCCCCTTTCCTTTGCTTTTTTCCCTCTTCTTTCTTTCCCCTCTCCCATCTCTTTATTAAAATGCACCCATTTTAGGGATGTTTGTCCAATTCTTGATTTTGGTGCAACCTGAGATGATGATTGAAGGCTGGGAGGGGGTGAGTATGTAGTTTTGGGGTTCTAGACTCTTCAGCATCGGTTTTCTGTAGTTTAGAACTGGTTGGTGATCACTGCAGTTCATGATGGGAGCTAATATGTTTGCAAATTATAACCAGTCTCAAGGAACACGAGGTTTCCTATCATTCATAGGCCCAAAACTTAAGAACTGGGATCTCTGAGTTCATTCATCCTTTAGGGAGAATGTGTTAGGGAAATATATAAGGAATTGCCCTGGCTTTTTTTTTTTTTTTTAAACAACAATATACTTTTTATTGATTTTTTACAGAGAGGAGGGGAGAGGGATAGAGAGTTAGAAACATTGATCAGCTCGCAACCAAGGTACATGCCCTTGACTGGAATCGAACCTGGGACTCTGGGACCCTTAGCGTCTGCAGGCCAATGCTCTATCCTCTGAGCCAAACTGGTTAGGGCTTGTTTTTCTTTTTACTTATCCACATATTTTGTCATCAAAGAAGTCTGTCTGGTATCAAAATTTAAATTCATATAAAATATAAAAAGAATATTTGTAATTTGTGTTCCACTTGTAGTCACAGTACTTTCTGTTTGAATCTCTGTATATTACTCTTAGTCTGAAGGATCTTAGAAAACTTCCTTATATTTGGCCCCTTAGACATTTTTTTCTCTCAACAGCTTATGAGTGAACTGCAGGCCTGTTGACTTTACCTGTAACATGAGACTATATTATTCTTTGGTTTTGATGAGATGAATCACGGCAGTCATTGAAAACAGCCCCCTTCCTACCTGGGGCAGGTTCCCATTGCGCTGGTGTCTGGGAGGAGAGCAGGCAGGCTGCGTGCAGTCACGCTGAGTGTGTGCTGAGTGACGTGAAGGTGAATACCTTCGGCGCTTCTTCCGTCCTCTCCGTGGCTCCTTCACAGACATGAAGATTTCTTAACTGTCTTGCCAAGGTAGATAGACAATCTGTCAGTCTGTCAGCTTTTAGCTATGAAACCCCAAACTTTGTCCTTCGAAGTCTTTTCCGAATCGAGCACCATTACAGGAGGGGGACCAGGGTGAAAGGCTGTGCATGTTGCCTCATAGGGGATCAGCCCAGCGGATGTTCCGCACTTTGCCGGGCTCTGCAGAGGCAGTGTAGTCTCTTCCTTCAGGTTCTTGCAGTGTGTTTGAGAGGCAGCCTGGACATTAGAAGACAGTGCAGTTATGTCTTTGGTACAGTGCACATGACACGCATTGAGGAAGTTGAGAGAATAGGGAGACCAGAGATGGCTGGCTGACGTAGGGAGGGCTTTAAGGAGTTAGCACAGGCCGTAAAAGGGCTGTGCTGGGGTGTGTGTGTGAGAGAGAAATGTTCAGACAAGTAGAGGCGGGAAAGGGAAGGCCTAGAAACAGGGTATAGCACGGGCACACGTGTTGTGACGTAGGTGAGCCTGGGAGGAGAGAGCTGCCTGCCGAGGAGGATGAAGAGTCAGCTTGAACAGGGAGAACAGGAAGAGATTGTGGCAGGTCTTAAACGCTAGGCTGAGGGGATTAGATTTGATAGAATCAGATACAGGAAACCAGTGAAGGCAGGGAACTGACATACGTTTTGTTCAGATAAATTTTAAATGTGAGAAATAACTGCTTATAAATGTGACCCCAATGGTGTGTTATTTCTATGGACATGGGATAAACTTACAGGATTTTTAATCTTGAGGTTCAGACTATTGACGTTTACTTTTCTTCTCTGTTGTATTCCCTCCCACCAGATTGCAACAGCAGTGAAGTTTCTACAGAACTCCCGTGTCCGCCAGAGCCCCCTTGCGACCAGGAGAGCATTCCTTAAGAAGAAAGGTACCGGTTCCTCATGGCCATGCACCGTGGCCTGCGGAAAGGGGCGGGACGGGGCAGATGGACGCAGTGCTGATGAAGGGATCTCCTATAATGGTCCCACTAAAGTGGGGGTGGGTTCGAGGGGTGCCCCCTAGGGGGGAATGCTGGCTTTTTCCTAACGGAGGAGCAGAGATGATCTAATTCGGATAATTGAGCTCCAAATATAAGGTCAACAACTTAGCCCAGAACAGCCTGGCACAGCTGGATTCAGCAGCAGAGAGGCCCCTTGGATAAGACTCCTGCTTTCTGCTCCGATCTTCTGATAATGGCCCTGGCTGGAAGGCGGCTGGCCTCAGATTAGCTCCTGTAATAAAGAATGAGGAAGAAAAAAATGAAGGAAAAGGGAAATGAGATGAATAAACAAGGTCAGGTTAAGGTCAAGCTTGGGGTCCGTCTGATTTACGGATTGAAGTGGTGAATTACTGGTTTGGTGGTATTTCTGTAGGCATGGAGTAAGTGGGTCTTGACCAATTCAGTATTGTCCGAAGCAGACAGACTCTATTCTGGCTCTGTTGAAATTCAGGATAGTTTTCTTTTTGTTAAACAACAACAACAAAAAACAACTACACCAAAACCCCTCAAAACAAAGAAACCCAATTTTTCATTTTTTTTTTCTAGAAAGCTCTTATAACCATGAGGGAGGAAAGAGACTCCACCCCCGCCCCCCCCCCCCCCCACACACACACACACACACCAGACTCTCTTTACTTGAAGAGCTGGAATGCCAGCCTCAAAATTCTGGGTTTTGAGCTTTAAGTCATTTGTGGCTGGAAAAGCAGGTGGAGTGGTTTGGTGGTATTTCCTAGGTCTGCTCCATGGGATCCCACTGAGGTGACCCTGCAGGACGGAGTTCCAGGGCTGGGCTCGCAGGCCAGGGCGAATACGCCCGAGCATTTCATTCACAGGCAGCGAGCTGTTGAGAGGTTGCCTCAAGACTGTCCCTGGGACCGAGCTGCAGAGGGGCGCTGTGCGCTTGCTGGCGGCATCCTGCTCGCCCCCATCAGCAGGAGATTATTAAAATTTGGAGTGCGTTGGCTGGCCTCTCCACTCCACAACCATCATGCCATAAAAGAGTTTTTCCTTGAAATATGTGTACCTATGGGGAGTAATTAATCATAAAAGCTTGGGGATTTCAGCTCTCTCATCAAAGCATCGAAGCTGGGGAAAGCTGAGCCTAAAAGCTGTGTTGATTACCCGGGGTAACCTGAGACAAAATCTATGGTTGCCGAGAGATCCTTCGCCCCAGTATATTGTGCAATATTATAACTGCCTGATCTTCTCTTCCACTGACAATGACCAGTTATTCCTCATTTTCTCTCAAACGCATCTGGGTTAGAATTTCATTTGCAGAGGGTATTTAGAGCAATTTAGAGACAAATGTCTCTGGTGTTTGCCCGGCACTTCCCCACCGCAGGCTTTGCTGAGCAGTTTTAGTATCAGGAGCTCCATCTAATCTGTTTAATTTTAATAAATCCCTGACTGGGAGAGGGAGAGAAAAAAAGAGAGAGAGAGAGAGAAACTCGGAACCAAATAATACTTCTTTTGAGTTAGTTGGCTAATAATCGCTGTAGAGAGGAAACCATTTTGTATAATTGTTATTTGTTGCTCCTTTTTAAAAGAAAACACAACTGGTAGATTAATTCATCTAAGAGTTTACTCTGTGCCACGCCCTGCGTTAGTCGGAGCCGAGGAAATCCCTGCCCTCTCAGAACTTCAGTTCTACTGAGGAAGGCAGGCCAGTGAGTGAAAGAACGACATGTGTGGTATATGGTATGGCAAGTGCCCTGGCTCGGTCGTCGGTTGTGTACAGATCGTGGTGTTGGTGTGGGCGTGGGTCACACTTTTACACCGACGGTTAGAGCCGGTCCCGCTCGGAGGTGGTAGCTGAGCGCAGACCTGAAGGAGATGAGTATTCGCTGGCAGTGGGCTTCACCCCTTCCTGACCCCTCGTGTGGGTTAGCGCGTTTAGAATTTTCGGCAGCAGAAACCTTGAGAGGCACCCTACCCTTCTTCCCCAGGCATTTACTGTATTTAAACTTGGAGTAGCTGGACTTAATCCCACATCTCCATTCTCTTTGAAAAGGTATTTGATAATTATCAGTAATTACCCATTTCTGAGCTGAGTCACAATAGGCAAAGTTCTGGCAGGACCTTTTCTGGACAGAGAATTCTAAGGTTTGATCGGCGTCTGGGGGAGAAGAACCCATCATGGATTTAAACGTCACTTTTAAAATTTCCTGTTGTTCCCAGGGTCAGGGGACTGATTAGTGTATCTTCAGTTCGCAGGCTGACGCTCTGTCCACTGAGCCAAACCAGCCAGGGCTGAGTAGTGTATCTTGTCACCATCCTGAGACTAGGATGAGGGAGGAGGGGCTTTTGCAAAGGAGCAAGCATGTGCCTGTCCCTAATAGAAGTTGGGAAGGAAGGAGACTCGGTCTTTGGGGTTGGGGAGGCTGTCTTAGGGGTGGGGGGACCAAGGTTCTGGTACCCTGACCACTGGTGTCTCCCCGAAGGGCTCACTGCAGTGGTGGGTTGGAAGGGCTGGCGTGAGGCGAGCGCACAGCTACTGTCGTCTTGGCTTTTCCTAGTAAATGTCACTTCGGGGAATTGCAGTGGAGCTCTGCCTTGAATTATAATCTTGACTTTCTTTTTTTTAATAAACATCTCTTTCCTGAAAAGGCAAATCCAATTTTGTTTTCTTTTAATATTATTTAATATTTAATATAGAAATTGAGATCCCTGTAGTGCATGTCAGTTCGGTGGAAAATGAGGGTAACTTGAGGCGCATCAGCTGAGTTTGTTTTATTGTGAAACTGCAGCGGGAGCAGGGGCTGCTCCTGCCCCCCTTAATGACAGGTTAGACGGATGCTCTGATTTCTGGGTCGTGGAGCGTGGCATAGGGATGGAAGAACGTGGTTTGCAAAGGTCTTTTGTGTTTGTGTTTTTTTATTTTTGTTTTTTGGAGATCTCTTTCGGATGCTTTAAAGTCTGAATATGGAGTCATTAATGAGAAACATGAAGTTATTAGAGTCATTTATCATTTTCTTTGAAGTTTGTACTGCCATTTTGTGTAATTTACAACATTTCTTTTATCGGGAGTTTTTTGGATGAAAGAGAAAAGCAGCTGTTCACCTTCAGAGCGTTAGAAGAAATGTTTCCCCTCAACCACTCGATTCTGCAGATGACACATCAACTGCAGAGCCAGCCCACGGCAGGGCAGTGACTGCGTGTGGGGTTTAAGCCCGCACAGAACTGGCCTCTACATGGAAGCGCTTCTTGCCAGACAGGCATCATTGCCAGGCTCTCAGCAGGCTGCGGTCCAGCTTACAAACAGCAATCGAATCAGTCCAGAAAGTTAGAGGCTTGGTCATTGTTGTCAATAGGCTTATGTTGATCTGACACCCTATCCAACCACAAAATGTAGGAGGCAGTCTGCCTCCAAACGTGTGTGGCAGGCTGAGCGTAAGGTGGGGAAGTACTGCCCGTTCCAGGGGGACAAACGGGGGCTGAGGTGCTAGGTGAGGTGGAGGCACGGGGAGTTGTCTGTCTGCTCACTGCACTTTCACTATCATCCTGCGTAGTGGGGCCTGCTTATTGTGCCCTCTCCAGTGGATATACCTTCTCCCTCATCTGAGAAACAGTCTGGGGGTGGGAGGAAAACTAAGCAAATAAATCTCACCGCTGTGCTTTCTCATTCTGAACGGTGAGACAAGGCCTTCTCTTTCTTCTGTTCCTGCAAGTGGACCCCCCAGTGGAAAACTGCCTCCTTGCAGGAAGTGACCGTGAGGAAGAATCCGGAGGGTCTCAGCCTTGGGAGGGGGGCAGAGGGGAAGGCTTCTCTCACTGGACTATTTTAAGGGGAAGTAAATTCTTACACAGATTTCAACTTGGCTCTCTTTTATTACTTTTCTTTTTTATCATTTACTCCATTTCTCGAGGTAGTTTGCATGTCCTTGAATGGAATCTCGTTACCATGAAAGCTTTTTTAGCATTGATTTCATAACAGTCTTAATTTAATAGTGCCATCATTACTGAGAAGCTCTGGGAGTGGGCCCCGGCTTTCCAGGTCACTGACCTTTTAATTACAAACCTTGTTCTGATGGCCAGGTTATCGACTGGACAGCTCCCAGCTTGTGCCCCCAGGATGAAAACGAAAATAACTGCGTTTCCTCCCCCATCTCCAGGAAAAAAAAGTAACCTCATGTGTCTCTAAAATTAATTTTCTCCTTCAGCAATTAATTCTTTAATGTGTCTTAGAGAAGCCAGAAGTCTTGTTATAACGCTGTTTTTTCTAGAGCGTGGGTCCAGCAGATAGCTTGGAGGGGCCGGGGAAGAGGACGGAGATCATGCCAGCTACCGCCCGCGCTTGATCGCGGCCCATTTCCTTGTCCTTGGAAAACTCCTGCGGCTGAGCTGGAAGGAATAGCATTGGCCCTGTGAGGGGCGGCCTGGCCCTTCTGACTCTTTGTTGATGAGATGTGGGTTGCAGCATCAAGACTTAAATTCATTCCCGTACTGCTGGAGCCACCTTAAAAAGGTGTTCTCGTTCTGAGAAAGACAAGGGTTGGATGATTTTTCTTGGCATGTGTTACTTCTCTGTTTGTCTCAGATGACTACACGAGGAGTTCTACTCAGCCTTGAACTTGACCTGAATAGGTTCTCCCTCTCTCACCATGAAGAGGGAGAAAACACGGAGAGGGCAGTGGCCCATAAGTAGGACAACCATTGGTTCTGGTTTGCCCAGTACTGTCCTGGCTTTAGCACCGGAATTCTTAAGTCCCGGGCAGCTCCTCAGTCCTGGGCAAACAGGTCACCCCAGCAGTACAGCCTTACTCAGGAGCGAGAGCTACCAGAGACAAAGTGGGTATGTGTTTACAAGCTGGAGAAAGAAGTTCGGCAGTCAATCCCTGAGAGCCCAGCTGCGGTTGAGTGACATCTTCCTCACACGCTGCCTGCTGCCA